TTTCGCGTATTTTTACTTTACTCGGAATTACGGGAGAGGGTTGTATAATTGGTATGATTTCTGAAATTACTGGGTCGACGTAATCGTATTCTAAATTTAAATTTGACATATTTGCATAGTCGTGATTATCGTTATTAGGAATTGAACTTTCGTCATCTGAATCGGAATCGTTTTCGGTTATATTAACATAATTAGAATTATCAATATTGTTACTGCGGTAAGGGATTAAAGCATTTGTTTCAATTGATCTGACGAAAGGTCCTGGTCTATTTAAAAATATGGATTCGTCGGATGACTCATCATTATCTGAAGCGAATATTGGTAAAACTAAATCAGTGGGTGGATTTCGCGATAAAGCATCGGCATTATTATTTAGTGATCCCTTTTTGTATTTAATTTCGTAATTGTATTCTGCTAGCTTGGTTTTCCACTTCCAGAGTCTGGAGGTTGGATCTTTTATGGAATGTAGCCAAATTAAAGGTTTGTGATCCGTTATTATAGTAAAAAGTCTTCCGTATAAGTAAGGTCTGAAATAGCTAATACAATATATGATGGCTAGGCATTCTTTTTCAATTGTTGAATAATTTTGTTCCGCAGTGATTAAAATTCGAGAAGTATATGAGACAGGAAGATCTTTTCCTACCGGTCCCTGACTTAAAATTCCGCCTATCGCATACCCTGATGCGTCGGTAGTTAGTATGAAAGGTCTAGTAAAATCAGGATATTGAAGAATGGGATTTGAACATAACGAGTATTTCAAAGAGTTAAAAGCTTCTACTTGTTTTAATTGCCAATTGAATATGCTATCCTTTTTCAATAAATCTGTTAATGGTTTCGCGACTTTAGAAAAATTAGGTATAAATCTTCGGTAATATCCGGCTAAACCGAGAAATTGCTTTATGTTTTTCAGATTTTTTGGAGTTGGAAAGTGCATTATTGATTTTATTTTGCCCGGGTCTGGTTTGACTCCGTTCGCGCCTATTTATGGCCTAAATAAGCTACTTCGTGCCTTAGAAATTCGCACTTGTCTGGTTGTAATTGTAAATTTGCGTCTCGTAATCTTTGCATTAATCTTTCGCATTTGATTTCGTGTTCTCTTAATGATCGTGCGTAAATGACAATGTCGTCCATATAGACGAATAATTCGTTTCCTTGTAGTCCCGATAGTACATTATCCATAAGTCTTTGGAAAGTAGCAGGTGCGTTTTTTAAACCGAATGGCATGCGCTTGAATTGGTAATGCCCATATGGCGTGGAAAATGCTGTTTTTTGAGCGTTTTTAAGTGACATAGAAATTTGATGAAATCCGGAAGCTAAATCAAATATTGAAAAGTATTTGGCTGATTCTAACTGGTCAAGAATGTCTGTTATGTTAGGAAGAGGATAAGCGTCTCCTATAGTTTTTCGTTTAATCCTCGATAATCTATAACCATACGCCAACGTTTATTGCCTTGTGAATCTGGTTTTTTCGGTACTATCCAGATTGGTGAGTTATACGGCGATGTAGAATACTCGACTAAATTATTTTTTAATAATTCGCCGACTTGTTTATCGATTTCTTCTTTATGGACAGGAGAAAACCTGTATTGTTTATTGTGTATAGGAATTTCGTTAATAGTTGGAATGTAGTGTTGAGTTGCGTTTATAGTTCCTAAAGGTTCGTTAGGCAAATGGAATCTATCAGAATGCTTAGTAAGAATTGACCTGACATGATCAACTTTTTCAGGATTTAAATGTTCGAGTCTCAAAAGTTTTTTGACGGCGTGTGGTCGATAAGAATTAGTAGAATTGTCGTTGGTCGAGAAAAGCCCTAGGGTTCTCGCACAATCGACGGAATTAGAAATTTCATCTCCCATTACCGGGGTCTCCCGACTCTCGGTAATATACTCTTCATTGCAAGACATTGAATGCCCTAAGGTTTCAATGTATCTAGTAGATTTGTCTCCCATCTCTTCTTCGTTTTGGAGTCGCACTGAATGCCCTAAGGTTCCAGTGTGATTAGTATTGTCACGTCCGGCCTTATTACTATGTCCGGGTATGTAAATTTTTTCCATCTATAAGGAATAAATCCTAAAACTATCAAACATCATTTGAAAAGCGCGCCAAAGCCGGCCATGACGCTTAACTCCGCCTAGAAACTAAGCGTGGCGCTTCGTAGCGCCTAAGGATCTCCCACCACAGTGAGAGCCCCTACTCCGGAGAGTTCCCTCTCTCCAGGCCGCCGCAGGCCCGAGCCGCCGAAACGAAGGACCTCAGAGCAGTCCCGAATTTCGGCAGTTCTCTGCGCGACACCGAACAGTATAGTCGCACTTCTAAATTCTAAGTCCAAATTCTAAATCCTAACTCTAATTCTAAAATTCTAACTCTAAGTATAATATTCTAACTCTAAATTCTAAGTCTAAATTTAAATTCTAATTCTAAGTTTTAGTCTCGAATTTTGTACTACTATACGAATAAATCAGTGTATTTATGTGTGAAAACTAGTGTTCAGTATTCTTCGAAACTTCCACTCCCGTGATAAAATACGATAGCGTTTAAATTTGTCATACGGCGTTTGAATTCAGAATAATTCAAACTGTGTTTGGAGCGGACCTCCGCTCAACACAGTTAGAATTAACATTCTCAGCATTTGCCAAAATAAGGAATTGATAGTGAGGTCCGCCGCATATCAACCCTCCTTATTTGAGTAATCATTCAGAGGATGCATCAAATTCAATATGCCTAAGACGCGACGCGCGGGAAGGAAGAATCAATTACGAAAACTAAACCGACTCTATGGTCCTCGCACTCCTGTTCGTCAGCGGTCAGCGGCAAGGCGGCACGAGGAGGCTCTTCGGTCTCCCAGAAGCGGCGCACGAGAGCTACTAGGTCGTCCCCCGTGGAGCATTGTAGAGACGACACGGGAGCCGCGACGTGACCGGCTCCAACGACGCCCAGCAGCACCTAGCCAAAGCGAGTCAACAGGGCACCGGGCTCGCGTGGTCCTCCTCGGCGAAAGCCCTCCGGCAGAGCGAGGTCCAGATAGACATCGGCGCCAAACAGCAACTCCACAGCATCCCGACGGTGGAACTCCGGGTCTGCAAGCTCGAGACCGTCGAGGTGAGGCCAGGAACGGGCCTCGCCTTCCGAGGCTCCGCCGTACACCGTGAGGCGTGGGAATACAAGCGACGAGACGACGAGCGCAAAGTGTCCATCGCGAGAGGAAACGGTGGCGGTGATCCGTCCGTGAGTGACGCCCGTCTGGATGCCTCCCACTCCAAAGATGGCCACTGACGATGGGGTCCGCGGGAGCCGAAGTCGCTGCGCCAAGGATTCCGCTATCAGCGAGGTTTCTGAGCCCGGGTCGATCAGCGCGCGGACCGCATGCCGAGTACCCACGCGGTCGGCCACGAAGACACGGGCAGTTTCCAGAAGCGCCGGTCCACACTCCCGCGGTGGTCGCCTCGCGACGTGGACCGTCGCCGTCGAAGATTAGGATGCAGTCGCAGATAAGGCCACAGCCGCAAAGGCGTCGTGCAACGTCGTGTGATGCTGGCCTGAGCATGTAGCGCACGTCTTGTGCGACTTACAATCGGCTAGCAGGTGACGACCCAGGCAGTTCCAGCACCGCTGGTGAGTGTTGATGGCTTCCCGTTTCTCGCTAACCGTCTTCTTCTTGTACTGCTCACAATAAGCAATAAAGTGATCTTTTCTGCAGAGTGGACAGCTGCGGTTCGGATCAGGCCCCCTGGTACCCACATGGCTGCTGCGAGAGGAGCGGCTGAGCTTCTCCGTTGGCTTGGCAGGCGCTACGGTCTTCACTGACTGGAGGACCTCCCAGGTCATCAGTTGTTCCTGGAGGAACTCTCGGAGCTTGTCGTAGGACGGAGGCTCCGACGACCTCCCGAGGGAGCTCTCCCACTCACGACGAGTTTCAGCGTCCAGTAGCTCGACGACCAGGTGGACGAATAGATCTGTGCAGTCGGAGATCGGGCGCCCGATGCCCTTCAGTGCACCGACTGTCGTGAATACGCCGTGGAATAGTCGGCGTAGTCCATCGGCTGACGGGGCCTTCAATCGCGGCAGCGAAGTGAAGGCTGTCAGGTAGGATCTGACCAGTAAACGTTTATTTTCGAAATACTGTAAGAAATTTTTCCCCTTTTCCCCACCGAACTGACTGGCGAACACGCGGGGAAAGCATGACACCCGATTAATTGGTCGGTCGGCGCCCCGTTACGCGACCCAGGCCCGGAATTCTGGGGGTATTCTCCCGATCGCGCGCTCGCTAGGCTTTTGGGGTATAAAAGGAGAGAAGAGAGAGTTACGAGAGAGTTTTCGAGTAAAAGGCATCTGCCCTTTTGGTTGTAGCACTCGATATTCGACTTGACTAGAGCAACCTAACGGTTTTGTTAACGTGATAACGTTTTTGTATCTCGCTCGCAATTTCTGATTTGAAGTAACCGTGAAAATAGCGACGCAATTAGACATAGTGAGTCGATCCTGATATCTCTCGAAGTGTGTGGCCGGCGATTATAATTAACCGCACCCGTACAATTGTGTTTCCATATTAAATGAATATCTCTAATATACTGTCCATTAATCAAGTGACTCCTTATTTAGTTGAGACCCTCAGCCGTTCCTCGTTCTCCTGTTGTTGTCCCAAACAGGGCATTTCAAGCTCAGCTTCTTAAGAACAATTAGTGAGAACAACTTATATTTCGAATGACAAAGAGATTCTTACAGTATAAAATTCAGAAGTGGGATAACGTACTCGCCTTCCCTTAAGAAAATTGTACGTATATTTAGGGATAGCCGCGTCCCGCATTCCTGAGCTCGCCGTTTACCGTTTTCACGAAAACATCACGCGACGCTCAAGGTGACGCGTATGTTTTTGTTCCTGTGATAACGTGCTAGGTGACTTCGATATTGTCTAAGACTGTGTTCGAGGCAAGAACGGGATTCCACATCGGACGAAGAAATCTATGGTTGGAACGCGAGCCCAGCGGGATCAGTGGCAAATAATGGAGCGAGATCGGCTTACAGCCCTATCTATGGATGATCTGCGACAAGAGGCCCTACGTCATCAACTGCCAGCAACAGCTGATCGAGAGGTGTTGATCGAAGCGATCTCGGCACATTTGTCCCTCGATAGTCCGACGGACGAAATGATACCTTCTGCATCAGGTTCCCGCACTACCACCGGGAAGATACGCAAAGGAAGTGGCAGTGCAGATCGGCGAGGGTCGGTGCCATCAGTGGTCGTGACACCTGCCGCGGGAACTGCGGCGCAAACTGGGGCATTGGACCGCCTCACTGAGACCTTGGCTGTATTTATGCAGCAGCAACAACAAATGATGGAAGAGATACGATCGCTAACTATAAGAGATAACTTTATCCCCAGGGGACCTTCCCCAGAGCAGGAGGAAGTGGAGCAGATTCGTTCTCCAGCAGTCAGTACATCATCGCCGGCACAAGCGGTGACCTTGTTAGCACCGCAAATTCCGGAGTTCGGCGGCACGGACGAGGAAAACGTCCATATTTGGTCACAAAGAGTCGACAGAGTGGCTCAAGTGCATCATGCGTCGGAAGACGTCGTGCTCCTCGCAGCCTCTAGTAAATTGACGAAACTCGCAAAGCAGTGGTACGAGATGCAATCCGGCCACGTCTTAGAGTCGTGGTACGAACTAAAGCAAGCAATGATAAAGATGTTTGATCGTCGTGTCTCGTTTACGGCCGCGATGCAAAAAATTGAGGCTCGAAAATGGAATCCGGCTAAAGAATCATTTGACCAATATTCAATTGACAAGCTAACATTAATTCATCGTTTGGATCTCCCTAGTACAGATGCGATCAACTTGATAATCGGTGGCATTCCGCAACATTCACTTCGTGCAACGGCTTTGGCGTTAACCACGCAGTCTGTAGATAAATTCTTGGAAGCAATGAGGAGGATCACCTACGGTATGGGCGACATGGAGAAAAAAAACCATCATCAGAGTAAAGCCATTAAGAAGGACTACAAAGCAGCTGACGGGAAGACACAGGGCCACAAGGACAGGCCGACCAAGGGAGCATGCAATTATTGCAAAAAGGAAGGTCATTGGAAATCGGACTGTCCACTGCTGAAGAAGAAAGAGCGGACAGTAGCAACGGCCTCATCCTCCTCCCCGGCACCGGAAAAGACATCATCTTCCACGCAGCCGACGGCAGCGGCGGTCGAGGATAACAACAGGGATAAGTTTTACCTCTCTGGACCGTTAATAATAATTGACAAAATCAATAATATAGATTGTAATTTGAGCGCGCTAATGGACACAGGAAGTCCAGTCTCATTTGTTAGTTTGAGTAATTTTCAGAAATTTTTCAATTGTACGCAAACCGCGTTAGAACCAGTCGATCGGAAATTTAACGCTTTGCCGAAAAATCCGATTAACGTCCAGGGGAAAATAATTCCGTGATTAGCTTTAAATCATTCCCCGATCGTACTTACGAAGTCTGTCTTCACGTAGTTGATTCAGATTTTTCTGAAATGGATTTAATAATCGGACGTGATTTCCTAGAGAACTACAATTTAACATTAATTTTCCGACCGACTAGGTCCGATTCCACTGCATTTACGCAACTCCTTTTACAATCGGATGTTTGTTATACTGAAATGAATGCGGAATCTTTGTTAGATGAGTGTGAAATAGATTTCGGGCTAGCGGAAAAACAACAGCTCAAAGAAGTGGTCTTAGATTGTTTAAATACCGAGGTTAAGGTAATCGACGATGACTATTACGTATCGGTTAATTTGAAAGACCATTCAACGTACGCATTCGCACCTAGAAAATTTGCGCTAGAGGAGCGAAAACAGATTCGGGCGATTACCGATGATTTATTGGAACGCGGCATTATCAGGAACAGCACGTCTCCGTACTGCGCAAGAATTGTTCCCGTGCGGAAGAAAAATGGCAACCTGCGACTATGCGTAGATTTACGCCCACTGAATGCGCGCATTCTTAAACAAAAATATCCTTTTCCTCTGATCGAGGATTGTCTGGCGCAATTGAGCGATCGAGCGGTTTTTACATTGCTCGATTTAAAAGACGGGTTTCACCAAATCAAAGTCAACCCTCAGCATACGAAGTACTTTTCGTTCGCGACGCCCGATGGGCAATTTGAATATGTACGATTACCCTTCGGTTTTTCGGAAGCACCCGCTGAATTCCAAAAACGCGTCGTCCAAGTTCTGCAACCGCTCATACGACAAGATAAAGTTCTAGTCTATATTGACGACATTTTAATAGCAAGTCGATCGGTAAAGGAAAATTTGGAAGTATTACAAGAAGTCCTATTAGTTTTAAAAAAATACGGTTTTGAGTTGAATTTCACCAAGTGTTGTTTTTTGAAGAAAAAAATCGAATTCTTAGGATATATAATTTCCAAGAATCAAGTAACCATGAGCGATCGTCACACGGAAGCCGTGAAGAATTTTCCTGCTCCGAAAAACACTCACGAATTGCAGCGATTTCTCGGGTTAACTAATTATTTTAGAAAGTTTATACAAAATTACGCACATAAAGCAAGACCGTTACATAATTTGCTACGAAAATCGGTAGACTTTAATTTTGACGCAGAATGTACTTCCGCGTTTGAAATACTGAAAACTGAACTGACTGCGTATCCGGTACTTCGCTTGTATCATCCAACCGCACCTACTGAGTTGCATACTGACGCAAGTGCTCAGGGGCTTGGAGGAATACTTCTCCAGAAACAATCAGACGCGAAATGGGCCCCCGTTGCGTATTACAGCCAAACGACAAATAGCGCGGAGTCGCGATATCACAGTTTCGAGCTCGAGATGCTCGCGATTGTTCGAGCGGTGGAACGCTTCCACATTTATCTATACGGTATAAAATTTACAGTAATTACGGACTGCAATGCGCTAGTCTACGCAGTCAATAAAGCGAATTTGAACCCCCGAATCGCTCGTTGGACGCTGCTATTACAAAACTATGATTTTAAGGTGGAGCACCGTCCGGGAAAAAGAATGGCACACGTCGACGCGCTTAGTCGCCAAGTATTCTATTTAGAAATCTTACCCTTGGAAAGGGAGCTAGAATTTAAACAGCTTCAAGATCCGCGAATTAAAGAAATTGCTGATAGTCTCGAATTGATGATAATAATAAATTTCAATTAATCAATGGATTGATATATCGGAAAGGAGAGGACCGCGCGCGCTTTGTAATTCCCGACGCGATGATCCCTAATATTCTTAGAATATATCATGATGATATGTCGCACTGTGGATTTGAAAAAACGTACCAAGGGGTACACGGATCGTATTGGTTCCCAGCTATGCGAAAAAAAATTCGCGATCATATTGATAATTGTATTACGTGCCTGTATGCGAATTCCTCAACTAATAGGCGCGAAGGCGAATCGCAAATAGATGATTTTGCCCCTACGAAACCATTTGAAATTATTCACGTTGACCATTTTGGTCCTCTGCAGGAAACGCCAGAAGGTTCAAGATATATCTTTGTAGTGATAGATGCGTTTACACGGTACACGTGGTTGTTTCCTACGAAAACAACGAACACTAAGGAAGCTCGCAATTGTTTAAAATTTTTATTTCATATTTTTGGAACACCCGTTACGGCGGTTACTGATCGGGGTTCGGCTTTTACAGCAAGAGATTTTGCAGAATTTTTGGAAAAATTAAATATTAATTTTAGAAAGGTCGCCGTAGCCTCACCGTGGGCTAACGGCATAGTAGAGCGTGTTAATCGATATTTGAAAAGCAGTCTAACTAAATCGATCGATTCGGCTGATGATTGGGAAAATAAACTTATCGCGGTACAGTACACAGTGAACAATACACATAACTCAGCAATAAAAACCTCTTCCTCGAAACTTCTGTTAGGGTACGAGCAACAATGTCATGAAGACAAAGATTTGAAAGACTATTTAGACTGTTTGCTCGAAATAGATAATAACATGTACGAACAGAGAGAGGAGGCACGTGATATTGCCAAACAAGCTAACAATAAGCTCAGGGAATATAATAAGGCTTATTATGATCGTCACCACAAGAAACCGACTGTGTACAAGGAAGGCGATCGAGTATTGATACGCGACCTTCAGGCCAAAGTAGGTATAAGTAAGAAGCTAAAACCAAATTATAAAGGCCCGTATGAAATTGCCAAGGTTCTAAATAAAAACCGGTATGTTGTAAAGGACATTCCTGGGTTCGACATCACGCAAAAACCTTACAATACCATCTTGTCTTCCGACAAATTGAAATACTGGACGAAGCCGGTAATTAAGAATAATAAATGACAGTACTAAATAGAGAAATATATGTACCTTGGCGACCGCACTGTTAAAAATAAGTTTTCTCTATATTGCGGGGTTATTTGTATGATTAATATTAATAATGTACCCGAATTACTCACTTAAGATTTTATGCAATGTAATTATATATGGCGAAAAATTATCTTGTAATCTCAGGATAATTAATGTGTATTTCTGTTCTTAGGTTTACTTAATCAAAAAAAAAAAAAAAAAAAAAAAAAAAATCGGCTACATTCGAGACGAATGTAATATCAGGATGGACGAACTGTAAGAAATTTTTCCCCTTTTCCCCACCGAACTGACTGGCGAACACGCGGGGAAAGCATGACACCCGATTAATTGGTCGGTCGGCGCCCCGTTACGCGACCCAGGCCCGGAATTCTGGGGGTATTCTCCCGATCGCGCGCTCGCTAGGCTTTTGGGGTATAAAAGGAGAGAAGAGAGAGTTACGAGAGAGTTTCGAGTGAAAGGCATCTGCCCTTTTGGTTGTAGCACTCGATATTCGACTTGACTAGAGCAACCTAACGGTTTTGTTAACGTGATAACGTTTTTGTATCTCGCTCGCAATTTCTGATTTGAAGTAACCGTGAAAATAGCGACGCAATTAGACATAGTGAGTCGATCCTGATATCTCTCGAAGTGTGTGGCCGGCGATTATAATTAACCGCACCCGTACAATTGTGTTTCCATATTAAATGAATATCTCTAATATACTGTCCATTAATCAGTGACTCCTTATTTAGTTGAGACCCTCAGCCGTTCCTCGTTCTCCTGTTGTTGTCCCAAACAGGGCATTTCAAGCTCAGCTTCTTAAGAACAATTAGTGAGAACAACTTATATTTCGAATGACAAAGAGATTCTTACAATACGTAGTCAATAATTCCACGCGTCCTCCAAGTTTTCTTCAGTAGAAGGCAGGTTGCGAATCAGCTGTTCAGCATCACCCTTACGCTGGTTTTCAGGTAATGCAGCTGTTCAATCTTTGTCAAGGACGCGTCTCCTAGGACCATGGAGCTGAACAGATCTCGGTAGGCTGGCCAGTCCTCGAACTTGCCGCTAAACTGCGGTAGATTGATCCGCGGTAAGGTTCGGCGGGACGGAGCCGTCTCTCGGACCCGCTCGCCGAGGGCGAGCCCCGCAGGTTCGGTGAACTGCTCCTCTAGTCCGGCGAGTTCGGAGCGCTGCCCATAATACGCCGTCTCAACCTTGCTGAGGAGGTCCTCGGTGGTGTACTTCTCCCGCTTGATCTTCTTCCAGAAGTGGGCGCGGAGCTCTTCATGTTGCTCCGTGAATTTGGCCCATTTATCGTCCAGGACGCGGATTGCAGCCTGGACAGTGTGGGCGTTCAATTTGCTCGCCCCGATTTCTTCAAGTTCTCCACGCTACGCAGTATGCGTAGGTAGAGCTCATGCTGAGCGTCGATTATTTGATCCATGTCCATTTTCTTTGTCACAGGTCACTGGACACTCACACGGTCACGAAGCACGCACTCACCCCGACGGCGAAGTTCAATAGGTGCCGGGCGCGACAAATTAACGACCTGTCGATTATCCGGCTCGAAGGACCAGCAAATGTGCAATATTCGATGCTACGCGGAGTGATTATAGTTAGTGCGCGGACGCGAGTGTCAAGTTTTGGGCGGCACAGAAAAAAAAGAAAATAAAGAAAGTTCACGGCACACAATATATTTTACAAATAATTATACAGTACAAAGGAAATGCTCTAATGCAAGCGAACTGCAATTAGAAGCGTGCAATGATTGCCGGAAGTGCAATCCAACGACAAAATCGATCTCCGCGAGAAGTGCGACGAAAATCGAGAAGAGAGAAAAGTAACGCTGTCTGTACGCGCGAACGACTGTACGACGATAGATCCGTTCGACAAGAGAGAGCGTGAACCAACGTGATTGTTTTCTACCGACCTTCGAGAGAGTTCCGAGGTAAAGAACACCGTGTTTGTGTTCCTTCCACATAATGATAGAATCCTCTCGAATGTCGGAGGGCAAAATCACTTGTTGTCGTCGGTTTTATGTTTGTTACGATACGGTTACCTGTCACCGTTCAAACGACAGGTATTGCGAGCGTTAAAGACGCGCGCGGTCTCGCGATATGGCGGGGCG